TATCTCCTTTGTAACACCCCAACCCGTACCCGACCCGGATATGAGTTCGAGGTGTCACATTGACTTTTCAAACTTTGACTCATGACAAAACTCGAGAAAATTTAAAACTTTCATTAAAGTCACAGCGGTTTGTTTAACTCAATCAATTAGTACATGCCAACTATATTCAATATACATAATACATCTAATTCAAAACATCTTTTTTGATCTGATCTTCGGTAAGAAGTAACTGACCAGTCTTGCTCCTCTTCACTTTTCTTCTAGCTTTCCGGAACCTACGTGTGAAACACTCACACGCTAAGTCGATGACTTAGTGAGGCATAAAAAACATATGACCACTACTAATGCATTCATAATCTATACTTATTATATCATACAAAATCATACATTCTGTCATACAACCACTATCTACTTGTACACACACATCATTCACATATTCTATAACAGGTTTCATAGCACAAAACATGTAAATCATATGTAAGGTATTTATTATTATCTCTTTATAGTCTTATTTTCATTCTTTATCTTTTTGTCATATCTTGCATCAATTCCTCTTAACCAAGCTATATACACATCATCATATCACATATAATCACTTCACACCATAAAAATTACAAACCAATCACATACTATCATGCAAGGTTCTTTATATTATTTCCTTTATTAGCCCATGTACACATGTGAGACCATATATGTGAGTCTATAGAGGTTGTACACTAATGCTGTCACCACAGCTCGTATAATTGCACCGAAGTGCCATGTAGAATTGCACCGGAGTACCGCGTAGAATTGCACCATAGTGCCATATAAAAATGTCCATAAAGACCACATATCATTCCTTAAGAATCATATACATATACTAGGGATCAAGTATGTCTCACAAGACTTCACACATGTTCCAAGAATATATATATCCCGAAGGACCGCGTAGACCCTCGAATCTTGGCATCAACTATAACCCCAAGCTCTCAAGACACATAACATGGGCATTAATATTTATGTTAACATACATTCACATGTACACATAGTCTCATAGTTCTTTCACATAGCTCATTGTCATATAAATCACATATCACATATACATATAGACACATGATTCACTTACGCGTAGAACATTTTCATATGATCACATATCACAAAGCTTATCACATATAATGTATTCTTTTCCATATAATCACATAATCATATAATATTTCATATGACATACACTTTCTCTTTCATATCTCATGTCAAGTATCATATCTTGTAATCATGTAATCATGGACTTATCATCACATAACTTCTACTCATACGGTTCAACATCATTAAACTTAGTTCACTTTTTCATATTATCATACATTTATAACTTATGTCCTATCAATAACCTATAAACTTACTCATATACTCATATATACTCTTTAATATAATTTGCATAGCAATGCTCTAATTGTATCATATAATGAGTTACCTAAACTCTTTCATAAAGTTTTGTAATTCTTCACTTTATAATTCATAAATTGTAGTTTCTTTAAGTATATAAATCTTCCCATAAAACTTATGTATCATTACTTATGTTTATGCCCTCAAATTTATACTATCGTAGAGTCTCTTAAACTTTCTCATGTAATCACTTATACCATATAATATGACTTATACTTGGTTATCTTATATTCATATATATATATATATATATATATATATATATGTCATGATTCATTAACTTGTAACTTATTTCACATATTCATTTCAGTCCTTATGTCTTTATCATACAACTTATTTCATGTTATTCTATTATTACATAATAGTGTTTTACACAAATCATATAATAAATATAAAGCATATCAATATCTTTAGTCATGCATACATACAATTAATGTAATACATATAATCACATATATCATAAAACACATAATCATGTTCATGACTTCACATTCTAGGAAATTGACTCATCGCAAGTCTTATTTCCATTAAACACTACATGTTACTAGTATACACTCACCTGGCCTCACTAGTCAATACAAATCTCTTAACTTTCCCTTTTATCAATCTTACTTGACAATGATTCTGGAACTCGTTCAGGCTCTGAATCTACATAATTATACATTTTCAAGACAATTATTAGATACCTACATCTTGTAATTCGATACTAACACTTAAACGAACTTAATAAACCAATATTCTTTTCTTCATTAGGGGGGCCAATATTCTTTTCTTCATTAGGGGGGAATCGGTTCCCTCCTGTGGGGGTATCGGTTCCCCATGACATTCTGTAAATTCTGGTTCGTTTGAGGGGTATCGGTTCCCCTTGAATTGGTACCAATTCCCCTAGCCCAGAATCACATGTTGAGCTCGAAAATCACTTCATTTTCAGCTCAACACTTCATATTCACTACCTTTATATTCCTAACTTTCATACATACTAAACTAATTAATTTTCATTCAGTACCTCTTTAACTTAAAAATTCACTCCTCCACATAGCATTCAAGATCATACCAAATTTTCTATATGTTCTAATCCAATTCTATCACTCCAAATCTCTAATTTAACCATTGACAAGTCAAATTCAACTTCACAATATAATAACTCCTTCTATTTCAAAAATTCACTTAAAAACTCTTCACATTTAATCCTTCATAACTCATTCATTTTGCAGTTTCAACATGCTTTAATCTCTAAATAATCTTTCTTATCACCCCAAGAATCAAAATTAATTTAAAACTCAAGAATTAACCAGTTGAAATTAACTTACCTTTGCCATGGAGCTTACGGGAAGAGAAGAACCCAAGAATCAAATTAAGTTTAAAACTCAAGAATTAACCAGTTGAAATTAAACTTACCTTTGCCATGGAGCTTACGGGAAGAGAAGAATAAGAAGGTTGAACCAAAGTCTCCAGACTTTTCTATTTTTCATCCATTTCCATGTGCCACCTCCTATATAAAGGAGAAATAAAAATCTTTCTTATGGAATTACCATTATACCCTTCAAACTTTCCAAAAATTACCATTTAATCTAACACTAAAATTTTTCTATTTAAATCCTTGAACTTTTAACTTGTTTCGAAACCGAGCATATAGTTTTCAAAATTTGCAATTTAGTCACTGACCCTGATTTGGGATGTTACATCCTTAGTTGTCTTCTTCTCCTCGATGCTTGACAATACTTCATCTGTTAATGCTAGATGAAAGTTTGTCATAGCATTCCCATCCATCTTGATCCATTTGTTATCATCTGTGAAATCTACCGGCCTTTCACTGATAGCTGCTAGACAACCGTCTTTCCTCAGGATGACCTTCATCTTCAATTTCCACAGTGAGAAATTTCTCCCATTGAATTTTTCAATATCAAATTTCGTTGTCATAGCTTCTATTATGGATAGCTCCCACTATTTCACTATTGTGAATAGTTCTCTAGAACCTTCAACGAATGAGTAATACCTTCTTACTTTCTTATGTTGGAGGATCCACCTTTTGGTAGTAACCACAAAGACAATAAACAGATATTACACACTCAAATCTGACTCTGATACCAATTATTGCAAAAAAGGCTATCGGATAGAGCAAAAATCGCAACTGATAATTTGAGAAAATAAAAATGAAGATAAAAGAGACACAAAATTTACGTGGAAAACCCCTAAATAATATAGGATAAAAACCACGGGCAACGGTAGAAGAATTTCACTATGAGAAAATATGAATTACAACTTCTCTCGATCTACCAAGGAGAAAACAATGATAATTCTCTCTTGATAAAAATGAGAAAACAACTCTCAAGAAACTCTCAAAATTCTCTCTAGTATTGGAAGAAAACTAGAATGTTTTGGGATGGTTTTGAAGCTAAATGAGCTAGGGTATTTATAGTTGAAGCTTAAGGACTAATTTGTAAATATCCTAAATTACAATGACTAAAATTGAGATTTTACCATTGTCCAAATTCAACTAAAAACCAAACAAACTTTCGGTGCATTAATATTGTTTGACTATTCATGCCAACTTGCTTGATACTTTCGATGGCATGTATTTTCAACAGTTCCATCATCTCAATGCCCCTCCTCGAATCACAAGCTTCCGTTACAAAGCTTGGCAATTGATTTTGTGGGTAGTAACAAATATAAATAACTAATCAATATTGTTGCTTATCCACATGGGATTCTTTCTTCCGAGGTGCTTTCCCTCATGTTCATATCTTTTTGGATAAGCTAAATCTGTTCTATTTTACCCGTACATACTACTGGTGGTAAATTGATTACGGAAAAAAAAGCCTTGAAATGCAGAGTTAGTGAGAATTTGATCCAAAATAATAATAAAATTATTATTTTATATTTATACATTGTTAATCAAATTTTGATAAAAAAAAATGGTAGCATGATGTTGCATTAAATTTTATTTAATTAATTTTGATTTAGATAAAATGTGAAAAGTTAAATATTTATTTTATTAAATCGAATTTTTAACTAAATTTTTAATCAAATTAAAGTCATTATATTTTGTTTAGATTCGAGAATCAAGTTTTATCAAAAGCATATCAAACTCAATTTCGAATCAAAAGAAAACCCTACTCGACTGGCCCGTTGTTATCCCTGATACCAATAGATATCTAAATCGTGGTGAATCCATCTCGGGCATCTCCACTTCTCGTCAGATACGATAAAAATCCCTTTTTTTGTTGGATGATTGGGAATAATAGTAAAAATAATAATTGTAAGAAATCTAGCAACCAAAGTTGAGTTTCAAAGGTTAAGAGGAGATACATTGATATCACTGTGACTTTGCATTGTCTCTCATGTTTAAAATTTCACAACGTTGCACACCACTTCCTTTAGGAGGGTGACGAAAACCTATGAGGACAAAAGAGCTAAAAATGAAATGAAAGAAAGAAAAATAGTTCATGTCGAAGAAACTTTCGATAATAAGTCAACCTTCCGACGATTTCCGGCCAACTTTCCATCCAACTTTACATGTAAATGCATAGCCTGTGGGTTGAACCGTCACCATCGTTGCAGGTTTGAAAGAAAAATGAGGTATATGATGACAAAACCTACTGAGTTTTGGAGATATCCATCTATAGAATTATATCCATCGGATAGAAATTGAGGACTCGGAGAAATCCGACATATTCCTGCCAAAGAGCACACAATTCATCTTCAGATTCACTCTGCGTGAATCAAGGGAAAGGAACGGAGCTATGCAAATCATGCTAGTTAAGAGAGACGTAATAAAAGACTGCGAAACGACTGACCTGTAAATGTTCCAATGCATTTTGGGCACGCAGTTCAGCCATAGAAGCTTCAAAGTCGATGTAGAAAAGATAGTCAAAGTACCTGATACCACGCATCAACCGGATTAATAGCATTAATTTAATTACTTGTTATGATAATCTCTGTCAAGAAAAATGTGCTTTGCTTTCTTTATCTGAATACGAGTATACAACACTTACATGGCACTCCCTCTGTTAGAATCGTCGACGACCCTTAGAGGACGACCTTTTTGTAGTCGACTCTCCATCTGAAAATTGCTCCAAGAGGCAAGACAACAATCAGAATCGTCTCTGATAATGATAAGACAAAGATGAACACTCTGCTAAAGTTACCTTTGTCAGATTAATATCCCTTAGAGAGAACACCGCCAAGGCTTTTAATAGCATGCCTGGACCTTCTTCTAGAGTAAAAACTACACTGGTCTGGAAAGTCGAAAGATTATCAACGAAAGAGATACATTAATTGAATAAATGACCGAGTTCAAGGAGGTATACCTTATAAACCCTGTCCGTTCTGGGAATTATGGGTTTTCTTGCAAGTACCAAATACCTGGTAATGTTATCATCCTCGTCCTGATGTACGAGAGGAAGTAAATCAACAAAAGAAAGAAATGTGTCTAGCCAGCATTCAACTTCTTCGAGGAATCGATGTGGCATTAAAGAGGGATAAGAATACTGAAGATCTTTTACCTGGATTTTATCTGCAAGAATGTCAAGCCCATATAATGCAGCTGCTCTAGCACTTGCTATTGCGCCTATATCCCTTTTGCCACTCAAAGCAACCATCTGCTCCAGTATCATAGTACGTAGAACATCAAGAACAATAAAATAACAAGAAATGAACAAGACACGACTCGAGGAAATTGAATTAGCACAAGATGATCTCGAAAGTACCTGAGCAGCACCAGCAGAATCATCAGCACTAACTCTAATAATGCCTAAGTTGGTAAGGGTCATCTCACATTGAGCAAGTGCCTGAAAATGAGGATATTGATAGCAAAACTAAAACTTCAAGAATCTAAATGACCAACCTCAGCATGAAGTTTGCATATTCGATAAAGCACATTCCTAAGCGATAATATATTTTACATGCTAAGATTTGGCGACTTCCAGAACAAACAAGAAAATAAAATGATATCGTGATATGAACATGATCAACCTGGTCATGACTGAAAACACGCTTGACTTCCTGCATCGTGACACCAGGCAATGCCAAGAGGCAGTGATTAACAACCAACTGTACCTCCCTTACGATGTGTAGCCTATGCCGGAGGAGTAAGTCATAATTACGGTGTATGCTACCACCGACAGAATTCTCAATGGGGAGAATTGCTTTATCCACCAACCAAAGTTCAACTACCCGTTAAAAGAATGCAACAATGTAACGGACATGTTTTAGTATAGTTCATGCAGTAAAAAAATACCAATAAAGTACTTATCATCCGGACATTGAAGGCTGATTCAAATTGGTCGCATGGCACTATCTCACAATTGGGGTATGCTTTAAGAGCAGCACCCTCACAATTAGGGATGGCAAAAAAACCCGAACCTGACGGGAAAACCGAATTAAACGGAGACGGGGAAAACCATTTATGTTAAACGGGGACGGAGAAAAACCGTTTATGTTAAACGGGGACGGGTTTAGTAATACCCGCCCCGATAAATATTAAAAATAATTATTATATATATATAATATTAATAAATTTAATTTAAATTAAAAAATATATATAATATTTATATATTTAATTTAAATATATATACCCGGCCCGATACCCGTTTAAATAACCGTTTAAATCCCTGCGGTTTTCTAAGCGAGGACGGGTACGGGTTTTTTAAACGGGGACGGGATGGGGGCCCAATACCCAGCCCGAACCCGGCCCGTTGCCATCCCTACTCACAATATGCACCCGGGTTTCCCTACAATATGTAACGACTGGTATAACCGTATAAGCATAGCAAGAAACACAATGGAGTTCAGTAAAAGAATAAATAGATTTCAGACCTGATAAGCAATCCTCACATTTGAACCATTAGCAGGAAATGGAGATAGATTGGTTATGGACAGCGGTTCTACAGAGCAGTTATATATTCAATCTTAGAAATTGCATCGAGAAAAACCATGTAACTGTCCGAGTCATTAAAAGATAAACACAACACCTTAAAAAAGAATAATACAAGAAAACTGGAAATAAATTTATAGTGCTAGCTAACAATCAATGTATTTCCTCTAGCACCTTTTGGACATCTAAACCACATATTTACAACTTAAGAAAATCACTAGATCATACCAGTAGACAATCCAACCTAATTAAAATCCATAGTATCAACCGATATCGACCTACCTAAATCGTTTAATGGTTACATTCCGTATCAACACGTCTAGAACACCTCAAGTTTGTCCACGTGAGTAGCTTCCCATTATGCATGATACTCGAAAAGTTCCAAAAAAGAACATTTCTCCTACTCATGCCTACACGTGTAACCTGAGTAGCTCGTAAAAGCAAGAGATGCCTGATTCAGCTTGAAAAGAACATAATTAAAGATCAGCATCGATCGCCAACGACAAAGTAAATGTTAACTGCCATGCAACGGATTTCATTTTGGATTTCTATGGGATCTAATTGTCCAGAGCACTGGTTCCATGCAGGAGAAAATAGCAACCATCTTCTATCTTTTCAATGGTTATATATCCTCGAAGCACATTCAAACAACCCACACCGAATACAATTGACCTCATAAATGGCATTCTATATATTAAATGAAGCATCATCCTTCCTGATGAATGTTCCATTTACCACTCATTCAAATTCATTGAAAGCAGCTGCCTCTAAGGATCGAACTCATTCAAAGTAGAACCATTGATATAGCTATAAACATCACAACAGCAAAGAGGAGTAATCTACATTGCCCTCAACATATATCAGGATTCTTTTCAACCTCAATTAAAATAGATTTCCAAGTCACTTGAACTTTGATTAATGCTAATTAACACAACAAAGCATCTCTACAATCTCACTCAATAAAACTGCAGGAAGACAATTTTAAAAGGGATTAAAACCAAATATCAGTTCAAAGCACTAAAACCGAGTTAGCTTACTAGGAAGAAGACGCAAGCCCTTGTGAAACGCCCTGGAGACTGTGGTCCCATCTTCATTAATCTTCCAAGTGAGAGTTTTCTTGGCCCCAGGCTTGTCATCTTCAGCACCCAAAGCAAGGCATTTCAATTTGGAAAACCTCAAATCCAACACAATCCTACCTCTGCTAGACCCCAAATCTGATACCCAATGAAGAGGCTTGTGAGGGCAAAAAACAATTGGAACACACCTCAACGCCATTGAAAAAGAAAGCGAAATTGAAGCTGAACCACGGTCAATGTTAATGTTCTATGAAAAGAACAGAAGGGACAAAGCTTCAATCTTTCAATGAAGAAATGAAAAACACTGTAAGACACCGTTAAAGGAGAATGCAGGTTAAAGAATCAATGGACCCCAAATAACACAAAAATACTCAAACAAAGAAAATAAGAAATAAAAACCCAAACTTTTTTCTTGTTTTCAACTGGGGTTTTAAGGGCGGGGTTGAAGTGGAAAAAAAAAATCAAAGTAACGTACAGGTAAGCAATTCAAAGAACTTGAGTATACTAGGAAAAAAGAGGTAGTTGGGAATAAGAACGTTGGCAACAAGTTACATTGGAATTAGATAATAGTACGATGTTTAATTCAACTTTATATATTAATAAATCGAACATAGATGACTAAATAAAAAAATGAAAAAGGTAAGTTAATGATGACAACCTGGAAATGGACACATAACCTTCCAAAATTTACAGTAACGATTCAGCAGATTTAATTCTATGAATTTAAAATTTAATAAGAATCTACGAATCAATTGATTTTATTAATTGAAGAATTTATGATTATTTTTTGAGATTCTGAATTCGAACTCTGTTTATGTAAAAGATATAAATGTTTATTGTTAAATAATTAAAAGAACTCACCTTCCCGGACTTGCACAATAGATTCTGTGCCGCTTCGAAGTGCTTGCTCGAAGATCTCGGCTCGTCGCATCCACCTAAAAGGGACATAAGCCCTGGGAGTTCGCGTGAGTGGCCTGGTTGCCTATAATCCTGGGCTGTAGCACATACTTTGATCGAGTATTTTCTAGTCGCTTAGAAAATGCAATGCTGCTGGAAGAAAGAATCACCGGTGGAGGCACCGTGCTATTATTCCGATTCAGGCTCGTTACGAGCTCACCGAAGCCCCAATAAATCACGGCAAATTCTTCCGTCACAACCTTCGAACAATGACCGGTTATCAACTTAAACCCACAGCAACAGAGTTCGAAGCTATAGAACTAATATGATTCTATAAGAACTAAGAAGTGACCGATCTATACTATATTTTATTCATCTTGAAATTTGAAAAAAATTACCTATAATATACAAATTCTGTAAACAAAACTGTTTATGGATTAGGTTCAACTCAAAACATTGGGAACCAAGCCCGCATCGAATTAGAGTATATTGCATTACATAAATTTAGATATCTAATTATATAAAAAATATAAAAATATATTATAATATAAAAATTAGAGTTTACATGTAAACCGATGGAGAATTGTGATGAAAAATATTAAAAAAATACAAAAATAACTCTAATATGTTATAATACAAATATATTATATACATATATAACTATTCACATAGAAGCTACCCTGTGCTAAATTCCAAACTTTCAATTCCTTTCCTCCTCCTAAATGAAAGAATCACACAATAACTCAACATGGACATCAATTCCCCCAACGAAACAAGATCCATTAAACCATGCAGCGTTTCAAGTTGTAAGGATTCACAAGAGACTAAATCTGGTTCCAATGGGGAAATAACTCATCGGAATCGGTGGCCTTTTCTTGGTGTCGTTTTGCTTTGGTTTAGCTTCGTCTGTAGCTTTAACTTGGCTTGATTTTGGTGGACTATCATCGTCTACTTTACTAGTACCAGAAAAGCAAGCCAGGAAGCTTGTTAAGGTAGCCATGGAAATCCGGGTTTTAGCTTGAGGTTGAAGATGAATTTCGAGGACTGGAAATATTTCTTGTTTTCTGTATGGCTTTTGCTGTGTCGTTGGGGTTACGAGATGCTGGTGGAGTCTTACTGTCTTTTATATATATATATATATATATAAGAAATCATGTTGTTGGTAAATGGTGCATTTTCCTCCGATGAACTTTCTTGGAAAGGAAGCGGATGCTGTTCTGCGTGGTCGCCAAGCAAAAGTTGAAGTTGCAAATTCTACGTTGACTTGTTGAGTCTCTTTACTTGATAGTTAAGTTAGCCAAAGTTTAAATTATTCAATCTGCGTCAGTAGTCTCAATCGGATTTTCTTGTTTTTTTATGACTTTTTTATTTTTATATTCTTTATTACACTTAATTTGTTCCAATCAGTGCTAGATCCACTAAAACGTGAAGGTGGAGATTAAAATTTATAATTTTTTAAATAATTACTTATTTTACTATTTTGCTTATTTAATATTTTATTTGTACTGATTTCGTACAAAAATTTTATATAGTTAATATATGTGTGTATCCACTCCGAAAATACATATGGATTTGTCACTTATTCTGATTACATTAAATATATTATTTTAATAAAAATACAAATGAAATAATAAGTAAAATAAAAGGATGATGTCAGTACGCTTGGCGAGCATGGACGAGCACGATAAATGATGAGCACCATTAAACTAAATTATAAAACATTAAATTATAAAGTATTAAACGTATAATTATAATTAAATTGAAAATTAAAATGTAATTTAATTAAAATAAATTATTTCTAAAAAATTAATTTTTTATAATTTTATTTTAATCAAATTAGATCAAATATAAATTTGGGAAATTTATAAACCCTAGTTCATTTCAATATCTTGTAAGCCACTGTCGTCGTCACTGCCACCCCTATCGTCGTTGTCACTGATATCGTCTTTCGTCGGCGAGTGAGTATTTTCCGTTCATCTCTATCGACGTGCATGTTGTTCACCTACGTTCGCGCAACCAATTCATTAAGGCGAGTTTTATTAATTTTATTTTGTTTCGTATTTGTGCTTTCGACCAAGCAATCATTGATGGGTGGGGTCTCCCCGACTATCAGCGCCTCAAATGGCAGTGGCAGTGGATGCCGGCGTGCTGCTGCCTCCATCTTATCATCTTTCCCTAACTCATCAATTTATGAACCCTAACCATAACCCCAAGCCTAAATTTTCAATTAGTATAATTAAAAAACCCTAATTATCAGATTAAGTACCATATTCACTAAATTAAAACTTCAATTAGAATAATTGAACCCTAATTTCTACGTTAGAATCGTATTTTTGAAATTCAATATCGAATTCCCAATTTCTTTCCCAATATCTATACCGATACCCTGGATCCTGTGTACCGGTACCCTATGTGGATCGGTACGATGATTGTATAATGTTTTTGATTTTATTATGCGTATCGATACTCTATCATAGGGTATCAGTACGATATGCTTACTTTGTGCTATGTTATATTATTGCAATTATAATGTCATTTACCATCTTGTTAGTGTTGTTTTTGTTTATTTTTTCAAAAAAATAGATTTTTTCAATATCGATCTGAAGATACCCTCCAAATTACGTTGACAGTGAATTCAATTGTATACTCATCTTGAGAAGATAAGATTGAGAAGGAACTAAAAGATTACGATGATAATAATATGCATATGCTGAAGTAGAAGACTTTAGATGATTGCGTGGAATTTTATCATATCTATGCAAAGGAAAAAGCTTTTGGAGTTCGAGTTGACCAGACAGTGAAAAGTCGAAATGGTGGTCACATAGTTACAAATAAAATGTTGTGACGTAAGGAGGGATATAAAGAGGATATGTGGAATAACCATCCAAATAGAAAACGTGAACAACGACCGATCATCCGAGTTGGATGTGAAGCATTTATTAGATTCAAATTGGACGGACGGATCAATATTGGAAAGTTGCTAAATTCCATGTAGAACATAACCATGAAATGGCTTAGCCAACACAATTTGCTTACATCATGTATGTTATTCATCCAAAACTAAATTTTTATATAATATCTTATATATATTTATATTTATATTTAATGTTATTTAATGATTTATTTTGTAGGTCATTCCGAAAAATTAATGGGTAATACCAAGTTAAGTTTAAGAGCATGCACAACTCTTGAATTGGTCAAAGTAAGATGATGCGAAATTTCGTAAGTGAAGCTGGTTCAATTGAGAATGTTGGATTTCTTTCGAAGGATTTGTACAACTATATATCTAGAATCAAACGAGAAAAAGTGCAAGATGGTGATGCTAAAACGGTGATGGGGTATTTAAATGGAAGAATATGACCCATTCTTTTTTGTGAGACACATGAGGGATGAATTTAGAAATTTAGAGAAGTTATATTGGGCTGATGGTATATCATGTGTAGACTATAAATAATTCGGGCATGTTCTTGCATTTGATACGACTTGCAAATGCAACACATACAATAAGCCGTTCGTTGTTTTGGTTAGTGTTAATCATCATCGAAGTACAGTGCCATTAAGATGTACATTAGTTGTGAATGAGAAAGAGGATACCTATGTGTGGGTGATACAACAATTGATTGAAGTGGGAGATGGCCACAGACCTCTTACTATTATTACTGATAGAGATAAGGCCATGACAAATACAATTGTTGAAGTACTCGGGGCAAAACATAAATCGTATTTATGGCATATCATGAGGAACATACAGTCTAATGATAATCACAGTTTTCTCGATAGTTTTTGAGATACGCTGACAAGTGTAGAGCTAAATCCGATTTTGAAAGGGCTTGGAAAGAATTAGTAGACAGCACAAAGTTGAAGGAAGGAGATGGGTTCATGAATTGTATGAAGATAAAGAGAAATGGGCAGAAGCATATTTGCAATGATATTTTTATGCATATAACATTAATTATATATTATATTATATTATATTATATTTATTTACTGTATTTGAGAAAATTAGTATATATTTATATTTTCATGTGTAACAATGAGGACTACCAACGAAGCGAGTCAAAGAATAGAACATTGAAAACTTGGTTGGACAGAAATGTAATGTTGTATCGGTTTGTTGAGAATTATCATCGAAAACTATAATCTCTACGATGGGAGGAAGGTGTTGAAAACATTTTGTTGTTTCGATATAACAAATTAAATTAAAAGAATTTTAAGTTTGAAAATGATTTTTCTAAGCATATTCGATATATTAAATCGAATATCAAAATATTACTCAAAGTATTTCAAAGTTCATTTTAAATCCTTACTAAAGTGTAAAATTAAGTTTTAATCTTAAAATAATTTCAAAACAATTTTACAAAGTATTTCGAACCGTTTCAATGCCAAAAATTACAGTTTGTCCAGAGGGAACCGATTCCCCCTGAATGGTTTTGCTCTGAGAAATTCCAGTATGCTCGGAGGGAACCGATTCCCCCCACTGTTCAACGGTCGAATATTTGAATTTTACATTTAGGGAACCGATTCCCTCCACGCTCCAAGCAGAAATATTAATTGTTTTCACACTTA